ATTCTTAGGAACTGTGAAATTTTGAAATTCCCTGTGGAATAACTACCCCAAAAGCCGGCTTTCGAAGGAACGGCCAGGACACGCTGAGGAGACGTGGCCACGAGCTCGAGAACCTCGACGTCTTCGTTGAAGAGGTGGACCCAACACAGAGAGGAAGCCTTGGGGTCCAACACGAGAGTCTCCACGCCCGAACTTCCCTTCTCCAGAGTGGCTGGCCAGACGAGGGCTGCTCGCCTGTACGTCCGGACGACGAAGCAGACGCTTGCAGAGCCGGGGAACGAGAGGCCGTGGCCCTCTGGAGCCAGAGAGGCCCACCACCCTTTCTCTACAAAGGACCACTCTTGCTCCTCTCGGACGATCTTGCTGAGCAACGAGAAGCCGGCGAGCTTCTCTTGCTCGGAGTCCGGAGTGTGCGACGCCCATGTGCGAGGTTGGCTGACACCCTTCAGAATGGCTTCCTCTGCAGTCTCTACTTCTGCGACATCGGCCTGCGAGGCGGCCGACCCCGCACTCGTTCGCCTCCTCTTGCGAACGAACCAGGCATCGGCATCGAACGACGCGGGTACGCTGACCATGGTGCCGTTGGCCACTTCCTTCCGCCGGTAGTCCTGGAAAAGCCTCTTTCTCGAGAGGCCATGCCACCCTTCGAGGCGGCCGAGAGTCTTGGCAGTCCCATTCCTCTGCTCCGCTTCACGCTGCACCTTATTCGCATCTTCGACCAACTTGGAATTCAAGAGGCCACCCCAGCAATGCCGCAGAAAGTCGAACGTCTCGGCCGGCACCTCCACGAACGACGAAGACCGCAGTTCCGACAGGACCATGGCCAGGACAGGCCCCGTGGCCGGATGGCCCTCGAGCAGTGTCTTGGCCTCCAGCGACCCAGTCTCCCGAACTGCCGTCACCGTCTTGTCCATGTCTCTGAGAAACGCAAGGCTGGCCAGCCGACAGGCCGTGCTCTCGTGGAGGAGGCCAGCAGTGGCACCCCAACCGTTCGTGCTCGGCAGTTGGGAGCCGCAGCGAAAGCGAAGCAAGCGAAAGGTCAGCCTCAAGACCCTTCGAGCGACCGTGTCCTGGTAGAGCAGGGCGGGCTCGGCCTCGTCGTGGTCGGGAAAGTCCAAGGCGAGATCCAAGCCCAAACGCTGAAGGGCTGCCAGGTCCGAAAGACGAGCGATGTGTTCCCTAGCCACGTTCATGTAGCCCCAGTGGGCCCAGCTGCTATAGATGGAGATGGTCGCTTCCAACGACCTGAGCTCCTCCAACATCTGGCTGCAGCGAACGCCCTCGGGCTGCAGAACGAAAAACAACGTTCTTGCGAGCGACCGGTTGTCGGGATTGCACGCAAAGGCCGTCATGCCGTGTAGAGTGTTGACCGAACTGCCTCGCTGGTGCTGGATGGTCTTGCGAGCTGCCGCCTTCGCAGCCGTCCTGCTGCCGCTGCTGGCCTCCTGCACTTTGCCGGCTCCAGGAGCCCACAGCTCCGAGGCAGTCTTCGTCCAGCCTTCGGCCACGCACACAGCTGCCAAAACGAAGCAAAAGGCCGACCAATCCTTGTCCAACTCCGAGTGGGCGATGGACAAGCTGTTGAAGCGAGACTGCGAGGCTTTGCTTCCTTTGGAGCGGACGAAGGACCTGTTGGGCAGACCCTCCAAGAAGAGCTTCCGGTTGTCCTCCGTGTTGTCTTCCTGCGAACGACCTTGATCGGACAGAATGTCCGGAAAGAACGCCAGGAGGAGGGGGTCGGATGGCGACATCGACTGGCTGAGTTGGTCGGCCATGCTTTGCACTTTGCCAAACCAGCCTCCTTTGTTCCAAGGCCCATATCGGACATTGTAAAGGCCGAGCGACACGAGGGCGAACGTCAGTAGTCCGGCAGAGGCCAAGGCGAGGTGCACATCGTTATGGCTCCGATGGGCAGGGTCGTTGACGTACTCCACGAAGAGCGAACGACCGAATTTGAGGTAGTTAACGGCCGCCAGTTGTGTCGCTTCTTGGTCGGTGCAAAGCACGAGCACCTTCGGCCTCTTGCTGTTGTCCGGCGAGGGACCCAACGCCGACCAGCTCCAGCCGACGGCCGAAAGGCTGTGAGAGACGTCTCGGAGCCAGTCCTGAGTTGCCTGTCGCTCCGGCTCTCGTACCCCGCCAGTGCTTTTGCCTGCCGAACGACCCTTCGTGCCCGCCTTCTCGAAGAACTTCGTGATGCGGCCCTGCCAAACGTCCACGAACTGCTCGACGGCGATGGCCGTGCCCTTCTTGACCTGGCAGAAGCAGTCTCCGGTTAAGGCTGGGTACCCTAAACCCTAGAACCCCAAAACCCCGAAGCCTGAGCACTCACCCAAGAAGCACCCATAGAGAAGAGTAGCAGCTAATCGCTGTTCTGAACCCTTCGAAGCTCTTAGACCTGTTACACCGAATCACTTCTCCCACAAAACCAACAAGGCAGCGAAAAACAAACCCTGGCGATGCTACTATTCTTCTCCAGACCGTGTGGCATGAGGCGACTGAAAGTCAAACTACGCAGGCATCTATCTTGGCCGCCAGCAAGCCCCCGATTTTGCAGCCCTTGCAACCCACGTGGAGGCCTAAAGTCTCGCCCAAAAACTGCTCCAAAAATGGTCCAAAANNAAAATGGACCATTTTGGACCAAAAAAAGTAGGCTAGGATAGACGTATGGTTTTTCCACGCGAAAAGAAAGGCTAGGATAGACGTATGGTTTTTGAAGGGTCGGATAAGTGTATGGTTTTGGCTCCAGGGCCTGTAGTAAGGGTAGAAGGCAAACCCGGATGCTTTTGGGATCCCGGGTCCTCCCGGCGAGCGAAAAAGGCTAGGATAGGTGTATGGTTTTTCTAGGCGCGGATAGCCGTATGAAAACCGAAGGCGCGGATAGGTGCAGAACGCCCGAAGGCCAGGATAGACGTATGGTTTTTCTTGTACCGAAATGGTAGATTTTTGGAGCAGTTTTGGGCCCCAGTTCCGCTCAGCAGCAGCCGTCCTTTCCCAGCTAACCAGAAAAACCCTCAACTGACCCAAAGGCGAAAGCACAAACCGAAACCGAGCCTGTGGCGGGCACGCGAACGACACGTCGGCCGCCGGGTCGCAAACGAAGACGTTCAGCCAGTCGTCGTCGCCGACGTGAACGGCATCTGCGACGACGCTGAGGACGGCCGTCGAAGCGAACGTCGAACGTCCGCTGTTGCAGTACGAGAGTCGCTCTGCCTCCAAGAACTTCCCCGGTTTGTCTCGACTCCGGGGACCTTTCTCCTCGACGGCCGACGTCAGGTGCTGCTGAGACTGCAGAGCAGCTGCAATGGACGGCCCGGCTGCCGACCCTGCCTGCAGAACGGCCTCTTGGCAGCCGTGAGAGACCTTCCGGTAGCCGCGAACGGTCCTGCAAGTCTTCGCTTTGAACTACACAACACAAAAGGCCCGAAAACAAAACAAAATAAGCCTTAAGGGTTAGCTTTAAATTAAGGGATCTTAATTTTAGGGCTGCGGCTTAACATAGAGGGCTTGGGATTAGGGTCTCTTAAGGTTTAGGTTTCAGGGGCGGTCCTCAGCTGCTCGAGCGACTCAACACGATGGGCGGTCCAAACGGCCTGCCCTTTCGACTGGTCGATGGCCTCGGCCAGGGTCACCAGCAAACGGCTGAAGACCTTCTCGGCGAGCCGTCGGCGGTCCTGGCTGAGAGACCGTCTCGCACTGTCCGCCTGCAAGACCCGCATGGCCTCCACGATGCAGACGTTCTTCCGTTTGGCGAAGATCTTCGCTACGACCTGACCGTAGGCCGCCGCCAGCTGCTCCACGGAGAGGACGCCTGCCACCACCGAGATGCCGCGACCACGAACGTCCTGCCAAAACGAGTCTCGCATCCCTTCCAGCAGGGCCTCAGCACGACTTCGAACCTCCCCACTCTCCAAATTCCATTTGGAATTCGCTCTTGGCCCTTTGCTCATCAGGTTGGCCAACCAGCAGAGGCAGGCGAACGACGACATGCTGAAGTCGCTCCTTCGCACGAGGTCCGCCTCGTCACCCTCGTCCTGCCCAGACTCTTCGTCCAGCTCCTCTTTGACACCGGCCGGCTCGGCCGACTCCTCCTTCACGGCCGGCTGGTCTTTGGACTTTCTCTTCTTGGCCGAACGTTCCTGCATTGTCATCATCCCGCTCAAGGTGACGTGACTCTCTCCACTTGGCAAAACCCGGCCCTCCTCCGACGCCTCCGGCTCGTCCTGCTCTGTTTCCGAAGACGACAAGCCGTCCGCCAACACGGTCGCTGTGCGACAGACCATGGCATCCCGACTCCTTCCCGCAAAGTTCCGGGTTGGTGTCCCGCCGAGAAAGTCCACGATCCATCTTAGGATCCAGAAGAAAAAGCCCGGAGTCGAAAGTTTGTCGTCGGCCTGGACCCGAACGGCCTGTTCGTACACTTCTCCTTTGAACGTCCCTTTCTTTCCGCAGGGCAGAACGACTGCACGCACCGTCCGTTCGGGAACGGCCTGTTCTGCCATGGCTTGCACGGAAAATCGCCCTTGGCCGCTCCTATTCTCAAAAGATCTAGCAAAATTAATGTCACGGGGCCCCTTGACTTTATGCTGTCGCCTGTTACTCTGAGTCGTGCTGCCTTCGGCTTCTGCTTCCTCGTCCTTGGGCCTTGGGCCTGCAAAGTCGCACGTGCCCAAGTCATGTTGCTATGCAACACGGAGCCTTAGACTGTCTGAGTGGACTCTCCTTGCAGTTACAGAGCACTGGCACTAGCAGAACACGGCAGCTTCAAGCACCCAGCCACGGCACCGAGGACCACGCCACACCACGCCAAAGTTCGGCGAGAAACCTGCCGGTGGCGATCGGGGGCTACTTTGGCACCCGAAGAGCAGCAGCCCTGGAAAACCTAGCAAAAACCCTGGGAAAAAGCTGAAACGCACCTGAAATGCACCTGAAAAAGGCTGAAACGCACTCGAGGTCTCTAAAGGGTTCCTGCCTCGGACTTTGCAACCTAAACCCACTTCATTGCATACACGGTTTAAAAGGCTGCAAAAACCCTGGGAAAAAGCTGAAACGCACCTGAAATGCACCTGAAAAAGGCTGAAACGCACTCGAGGCCTGTAAAGGGTGCACTGCCGTCCTTTTCCAAGCCAGCTACCCCTGTGATCCTGGAACGGCACCCCACGCCAAAACTGTGCAACTCTGTTGCACGAACGACAACACAAAGGCTACGAGTGCGAACTACTAACGAGAGACGTAGCCGTGAGACCCGGGGGCTCCTCAGTCCCCGTCCTTCTTGATGCTCCACTTGGCCCGGGGGTCCATGTTGCGAACTTCGACAAAGAGCGACCGACACTGGAAGATGAGATGCTTGCTGGCCTCCGAATGAACCTCGCACGACGGCAGCTCGGGATTCGTGAGGATCCACTTGTCGCCACCCGATAGCTCTGGCAAGGTCGCCGACTCATCGCTGTGTACGCAAGAGACCTCGTTGTCCTCGATCTCGTAGCACTTGACCGGCGAGTTGTCCACGATCTTCTTCGTCACGATGTTCAAGGGGTCGACTCGCTGAACGGCCATCTTCCGCAAGGTCTCAAACGAACGACACCCCTGTGGCAAAGCGACCTCTGGGTCCACAAAGAACTGAACGGCGAAGATCTTGTCGATGGTCTCCGGGCCGATCGTCCCATCCTCCACCTTCGCATCGTCGAGCTCCACACCGAGGGCCTTGAGCATGCACACTTTCGCCTCCGGGGGCAATTCGCCCCATGTCTTCGCCTTGCCCTGCCAGCGATCGGCCCCGCTGGCACCCGACGGGCCGGTTTGGCCGTCGGGCGACCCGAGCTTGAGGATGGCCTTGATCGCACCGTCTCGCATCAAGTCCGCCAACGGCTTGATCCAGGCTGGGTTGTCGTCCAACTGCTGGTCGACGAACGCCCGGAGTCTCTCGAACGACCCCTGCTGGTAGGTCGCCACGGATCTCGCGAACGTCCTTTCGGCCTTCTTCTGCAGCTTCGCCTCTTTGGCCTGCCGGCGAGCGGCAGCCTTGTCGGCCGCCCTCTTGGCGGTGGCGGCCTTCCTGACCTCTGCATCTCGCTTCGGCATGACGAAACGAACGACCACGAAGGACGACTGGAGGCAAAGGAAAATGGCTTTTGTCGCACTCGCTACCCTTGATGAGGTAAAGGCCCAGAAGTTCCCGCAATGCATCCTCAAGAATCACCCGCAGCTTAAGGTTGCTTTTGGGGGGTGTGAGGGTCTAAGGCCTAGGTTGCAGGATGTAGTTCACGTTTGGGGTTGAGGGTGTCGGGTTTAGGGTTTTCTGGTTTAGGG